TATATATATATATATATATAAACTTAATAAATAAAGCTTATAAAAATGCCTAGTGTTCGTGTCTTTAAAAATAAATTCTGTGAATCTGGCACAGACACCCCCCCCTTTTAGTGTCAGACTGAAACTCCCATCAACCCAAATCAGCACACACAAATCTGGTTTGCCATATCATTCACACACACACACAAGGTAGCAAATAGCTGCTGTTCATAAAAGCCAAGTGCTGTGTTGCATTCTAGTCTAGTCGTTCTTATGTCCTGCAACTCCCAAGAAGCCTGTAAAGTGTGCAGCTCCTGTGGCTGAGTCTCATAATCATTTGTGTGCTTTTGTTAATTTCATTATGTTCCGAGGAGAACTAAAGTTTTCAGATTTAACACCAATTAAAGTCTGATAGCTAGGCTATATTTTGTTAATCTTAGCTCAATTTTGTTATATGTATGTCTCAAAATATATTTAATATTGCAAAAGATACTTTGGTGTTTAGAAACTATTAAAAATAATTATTGTTATTCAGAACAAGAAGAGGTTTAAAAAAAAAAAAAACATTCTGTCTTTATGTAGCCTGTTGATGAATGGTAACTATTTTGCAAAACTAAACATGTTTTTCATTACAGAAGTATTCAGCATCATCACTGTCATTTCATGCACTATTTAACAAGAGGAACATTCATACTAATTGCTAGTAGCTAGTATCAGCAAATTCAATTATGTCCAGTGGATTATTGGTGAAAGATACCTCCTTAATCCCCAGTATTTTTTTTAAACAATTAATATACAGTACATTTAGTTGAACACCTTCCTCTCAGAAATGAAAATAATCAAAATTTAATGTTTTCCAATTTGCTCAGCCTGTCAGAAGATCTGATACTTCTTTTTCCCATATGAAATGAAACAGCTTTAGAATTTGTTCATTAGGCTCAAAAGCAGTGTCAGCTCTAGTTAATTAGTACATGGATGGGGGAACCATCGGGAATGACCAGAGCTGTAAGCTAGACCAGGAAGCTGGAAAAAAAAAACATCTTGGAAGGTAGCAATGGCCAACCACCATTTTGCTGCCAAGGAAATTGCATGTAGTCACTAGGAATTGAGCCTGGCTCATGAGCATGGTTGCATTTTTTTTAACTAGTTGGGGAATACATAATAGGATAGCCTTGTTAGGTAAGGATGGCTTTTATTTTTCATTAATTTGTTTATCCCTCCCTCAACACTGACTGGAACTGGCCACAGAGGTAGTTCCCAAGTGTAGGGTTACTAGATATCTGAACAGGCAAAGGAGGATACAGACAATTGGAAAGGACCACACACTGTTTAACTTTCTTGGCATCTGTGACAAAAATTACAGCGAAAACTTGCAAAAAAATGTACTTAAGCCTACATGTATATGAAATTACTTTTTCTAGCGTCAGAAAGACCGATTTCCAACAAATCTTTATTTTCAAGAATATATGCTAGCGATAATATAAAATCAGCAATGCACTTTCCAAATTTCACCACAGAAACATGAGTCATGTGATCTACAAACTATAGTGATCATAGATTTGAAGGAGTTGGATTGAAGCTGATAGCTACAATCAGGAAATAAATAATGTAAATCTAGGCTGTCGAGTCTGTCAATGGATGAGGGAAAGAAAGAAGCAGACAATTTACAAGATCACAATATGCAAAAGTTTGAATGACTACTGCTGTGCAAACAGTCCAAAATAATTTTTTAAAAAACCAAGAATCTAAAAAAACTGACTATTTGATTTAAGGCTTTGCCTGCTGGGTGGAGGACATGAGGACAAAAAGGAGGAAATACCAGGTAACTACCAAAACGTGACCAATGTCATGTCAGTAGTGTAACTTGGCCTGAACCCTGACTGAAAATTATCCAGAGTGGGCCTAATACCTTCTCAACAAACATTCCTAAAAAAAAGAAGGTTGGAGACCAGATGAAACCCATACCACCACCTCTTTCAAGGCAAGCAAGACCACCCCCTCCTTCAATGAATCACCACTGCTTGGACCCAACTACATGCCACCTCCTAGGAGGCCTTGGCTAACCAGGAGAGACATGGGTCCACAACACAAGTGGCAGAGCTCACAGCAGCAAGGACTCTGTCAACTTCCTTAGGATCAACCAGTTCAAACTCTTCCCAGATAACTGAGCTCATTTCAAGCTGTGACCAGAGCCTCAGCTGAACCATGCACCAGAACCACAGGAAAATACTCAAATTTCCTCTGAAACAGCATTGGGCTCCATCAGTTGCCTGGGGTGGGCCAGTTGAATAGGCCCCAACTGTCTGAGGCAGTCACAGAGAACTCCAGGGCCAAAGGGGCATGATTTAACCATGGCAAGGGACTGGTATTAATATCTCCCAGCTCAAGATCATTCTGCAACTGCCCTGATCTTATGTGTGACCACCCCTATGAGTTGGGCCTGAATAAGTTGGACCAGGCCCACATTGGCCATGAATTCCTGGGTCACCTCTGACGCTGGGCCCAAAGAAGGCAGGCTGAAATCCCCCAGGACATAAGCCTGGGGAACTCCACCACCAACCTGGCCATGGATTCAAGTAGCTCAGGCAGAGACGCTGCTACACTGCAGGGAGGAAAGGTAAACAAATAGTTTTTTAAAAATTCTGTATCTCTAGATAGATTAAAAATATAATGTGTTTACTTTACCATAAGGGAACCAGTAGAGGGAGCAATTGTTAAGGTCATGTTTTATAATATTAAGTCCAATGTTATGTATGAGAAAAAAACAATACCTGAAAAATTAACATTTCTCAAAACTACAGTTGTCAATGAAGAAATATCAAATCTAAAGTTCAAACACAGTAAACTGTATTGCATGGGCAATATTTTAATGCATATATTAACTGTTAAAAGTAATAAATATTGCTAAACATGGAAACAAAAGTTAAAAAACCTGAGATATCCCAATCCAATAGAGGGAGACTTTTTTTCATAAAACATTACAAAAAACTACCCACACTGCAATCAAAAGGAGTACATAAGGAATCTTCATTGTCATGGCTTTGTCAAATAAAATAGCTTGAGAATTTATCCACCTTCTATAAGAAGCTGTTTGTACATAGACTCCTGGCAACCTTGGTCGGCCACAACCCAAGCCAAAAGTGCCGATCCCTACCAGATAGTACCTGGTGGCATCTGGTAAATAGCATGCAAGAGGGCCACCGCTGTCTCCCTGGAACATGAAACACCAAGAAGAAAATATCAGTGGAGGGTATTCTCAGCTATTAGATGGAAAGGTACTATTATCCAACACATTTACTTAATCCATGAGGTATACTTTACTTAATCACAGACTTTAAATCATAAATGGCTGATTTAATACAATCCATGTATGTATAAATAAATACATTATTTATAAACCTTAATAGCTGGATTCACATGTTAAATTGAGCCAAGCATTGTGACTTACTGTGTGTTCTCAGCAAAGAAATTGTGAACTACACCATTCATGATTTGTCAAAAGAAAAACAAGTTTTCTGTAAGACACACCCTCTCCTGGAAACAAGGTGGTCTTGCCTTGGTTATATTGCAAATTGTACAAGTATTGTCAGTCTCTCAACAGTCTTCCAGCTGCAGACGTCTGAAAGTCAGGTCCTCCAATGTTAGCTGCCAAGAAGGCATTATGTGAACAGCTACTAAGAGAGGCAGCCTTTAACCTTCTCAGTTCCAATCTCGGGTAGAAGTCTAAATATTCTGAATGTAAAAAATTAACATCATTTTACAGTACCTACGTTATGGCATGTTTGATCATGCTCTATGATGAAATTCTATTTTACCTGACAAGCATCAACTCCTCCGTTTTCAGACCCAGCGCAAAGCATATTTGTTTTCACCATCCCTGCATACCAGTCGTGTTTATTACAGATTGATTCTGGAATAATATCTACTTGTACTTCTTGTAATACATCTCTCTCTCTACCTAAAATGAAAATTCAAAACATACTGGAAGTACTCCTATTTTTGTTTCAGGCCAAAATGAAAAACAAAATGTTGGTTCAGACTATTCTTGGTGTTTCATAGAGTCTTAAACCTAACAGGAACCCACCTTACTTGGAACTGATGACCCAGTTACTTGCTAGAAGAAACATTAAGGGATTCTTTCAGCATTTGAAGATGAGATGAATTTTATTTGGCACTTAATGCAGCCACTAGGCGTATAGGGAGGTTACAGTGTAATGCTATCTTTCCGCCAATCTTCCTTTTCATTTTTTCCAATCAGCAAACATTGAAAAACAGTTATGACTGGAACCAATGTTAAACAACCTGCCCTTCATGGTATCTATGATTATACATATGGGCTGAGTGATCATTTAACTTCTTGAAGTGAGAAAGATGTTCCTGACAGGATCAAAGAAAAACAACATAATAGGTGGAAACTAGTTGCAGAAAAGTATAAGAATACAGACATTCCCTTATTTCAATATTCATAACGGAAACATGATTCTGGCAGGAGCAGCAGTTTTCTGAATATAAAACTAATGGTTGAAAAGTTTGGAAAAAAGCAGATGAAAGATACTAGTTCATATGAAAAGACAAAACCATCTTAGGCAGGAATGTTTTGTTTCCACACAGACCTGGGCCATGTGTGTTTTATCCAGACATGTGTGTTCTAGGTAGGATTAAGAGAACAGGGAAAGAAGCAAGGTCATCAGTGATGGAGGCTAAAGGGAGGTATAGGAGAAGGCAAGGGAAGATGGAGAGAAGGGTGAGCGGGCCATTTGGATATTGTAGCAGCAAAGTGACCATGATGCATGGCTCAGGAAAGTGTGAGATCTGGAGGAAAGGCAGAAATAGGTCTGGCATGCTGTGCTTGGATTAAAGCACGGTGGGGCAGCAGCACGTAGATAAAGAAAAGTCATGGGAAGGAGGTGTAAAGGAGAGTAGAGTTGATCCTGGGCATAGAGAAGGAAGGAATGAGCCATCAAGGAGAATTTGCAAAAAACAATTGCAGAGTCCCAAGAAAGAGGGAGCATGAGGAGAAAACTATAAAACTCCACCTTGCCATTGTTCAATTTAACATGGGGCAGAGAGAAACCTGGACAGGTTTTCAAGATTCTGCTGTTCTATTTTACTGCAATAAAAAGTATTCCTGGAATCCCTGCTGGGCCTGTTTCTTGACTTTACCTACCTCAAAGAGCTGACTGAAAGATGATGGAAGAAGTGGGCCCGCGGCAATGCAGAGAAGGGGATGGGGGCAAAGTGCACCAGTCTTACCCTACGTAACCTACATGAGCCCTCTGGATTTCTCACAGTCACCAAGATAGTCTGGGTCTCAGTTCAGTGGGAATATGACCCACCTGGAACAGTTCAGCCACACATCTGAGCAGAGTGTGTTTGCTCCCTGCAAGGAATAAGACACATTTTCCATTTTGTGCACCCCCCTAAATATCACCCACCAATTAATAGTTTCAGCTGCACTGCTCCTCTTACTGAAGGGGACCACTCATCTGAATAGATTTGTCTTTAAATCAAATGGGAGAGATAACTCGCTCTTGGATAATTTCCACCCACTGCCAAAAAGGAACATTCAGGTTTAAATCCAACCTTAGTTTCTCATTTTTAACAGACTAACGGAAAGGGGAAAGTAAAGATTTACCTTTTTCTGTTGTGTATCCCCATCCACTTATAAAACATGGTGTCTCATCACTTAGAGCAAGAGGAGCATCAGGTAAACAGATGGGCTGGATATACTCATTGAATCTGATCGACTCCATCAGTTTGAACAAGGCAATGTCATTCTCAAAGGTAACCTTGTTAAATGTGGAATGGATAATGATAGCTCTGACCCGGCTCTTTATGGTATGGACGTGCTGTCTAGAGACGTGGTGCATTCCAACCACAGCTCTCCAAAACGAAGCAACCCTAGAACAGAATAAAGCCCTCTGTAGAAATTAATGAGAGCTAACTGTAGAACAGTAGCTTCCTAGACTATGAAACTTGTACACATTGTCTTGCATTTTAAAAATTCATTTTTATTAATCACTTTTAGATGAAAAAGAGAGAAAACAAGCAAAGGAAAAAAAAGGGAAAAGAAACTGATGCAGAGATATAGTATCAGTAAGTGGACAAAGTTGTTACTGAGGTTGTACAGTTCGTGCTCTGTATTTCATTGATGGAAAATTACCCATAATGAAACAGAATACATTAAATTATTTTTACAATTAAAAAAAAAGAATTTTAGAGATCTTTTTGAATCTCTGAGCCGAGTGCCAAAGTGTCCAATATTTTGTCATTTAAGGATACCCCCCCCCAAAAAAAAAAGGGTACAAACCAGAAAAAGAACTAAAAGGATTATAGGTAAATAGTTTCTAGCCTCCTCTTAGCTGAACTCTAACTGATATACAATATTTATAAACATTTAAAATTTTCATGTATTTTTGATTTTGGTTCTTTGGTCAAATTATTTTTTCTTTTAAAAAACTATACTCTAGATGCCTAAATTGCCTTGCTGTGTAACATGTAATATATATGGAAGCCATTTTTGCTTAAATTTGCTTAAATTTCTGTTGTGAATATATGTTGTTAATTTTGCCATTACTGCATATTCTCCAAGTTTTCAGTTCCCAGCCTGGTTGTGCTAGACTTATCTTTGGAGCCATGAACACGTATCTTAGCAGATTGTGATTTTTTTTTTATAATAAGTTTTGGAATTATGCCTAGTTATTTAAAAAAAACAACAATTGTGGTTCATAGTACTGTGTATTTCTTTCCAGTACTTTGGAATTGTTTTTTTACCTGTCTACCACATATGGTAAAATGTTCCTTCTGTCTCATGGCATTTTCAGCATTTATTATTAAATTATTTGTCTGTTTTTACAATTATTGTTGTATTTGTCTATTTTGACAATTTTAAACCATCTATTAAAATTTTTTATACCAGTTTTCTCTTAAGTTGTAATTCGGGGTAAATTTTATAGAACTGTTCTGTAATTCTTCCCATAATTGTGTTGTTTCCTTAAAGTTTTGCATCCATTTTATCATAGTTTTTTTTATTTGTTCTGTCTCTGTGTCATATCTAAATAACAGTCTATATATACACCCTAATAGGTGGTCGTGATTCAGTGTGAGCATTTCAAATTCTGTCATTTTTCTTGGAAACCCTCCTTCATTTCTGAGGTCAGATTTTATTCTTCCAACAGTTTGTAGGTACATCAGCTATGGTATGTTCTGGCCTTCGCCAAGTAGTTCTTGCTGTGTCTTTAGTCTATTCATGGGACCATATCTATGTATGTACATGCACTTTCATTTTTGGGAGCTCTTTCTTACTTCATAACCTGTATCAAATAGATAGCATGAGACTAAACTCTGATCAAAGACGAGATAACAGTTCGTGGGCTTGCTTTTACAGTAGAGACAGGGCATTTCCACTGTGGGGTATCTCCCTCCCACCCATGCCAGAGGCAGGGCTAGAAGATTCTGACACTGCTTTCTACAAGAGGAGGTAACTCCATTCCCAGTTTTGAAAATACAAACTGGAAAGGGAGACCAAAGAAAAATTACTTGAGAAAAATAGGAATAAAGGATAAATGTATGAAAACTGGTTGCTGAAGCTGATGAGGCTCTCGATGGTGCACTCTCTCTCTCTCTTTTTATGTGGGATGTTCTATCTCTGCTTTAGAAAATAAGACGTCCTTTCCATTTTCCTACAGCAGAGACATGGTATTCCATTGTGGGACAAATCACAGCTATCCCCAAAGTGGGGAGATGATATTTAAAGGGCTCCTAGTCCTTGCTAGGAAAATAGTCTGCAGCTCTGTCCTGTTGAAGGATGCTTCAGTCAAAGCATCAGACATACGTTTGTAGCGTTTGAAACTGAAATTTCTTTATTGCGGTCTTTGACCAGCATTACAAATAAGAAAAAGAAAATAGATTGCTACAGAAAACCCATTACCCAAAAAATTATCATAAAACAATAGAACACCATATCTAAGTCAAAGTTTTGTGCAGCTGTATGGCTGAGTAAAGGTATTTGGCAACCCAGAATGTGAGTGAAAAGTTAACATCCATTAAAAAATAATGAACATAAAATTTATTTGTACAACCCTTAAATTTGGAAATAATTGGGAAGAGCAAGTTTGTAGTGTTTAATAAAGGAGGTCATGGAGGACAACATGCTGACCCTACAGATCCCTTCCAGAAGGTCACTAGTGTCAAAGGTGGCAGATGTGGCTGCATTTCTACCTGAGCCTCATTTTGCTGTGGGATGGCAAGTGCTATTAACTCATTTGGTCAGAGACATGGCTCTGTGATCCAGAAGGGGAAGGGCAGCAGCATCTCTGAAGACTCGGAAATAAGGATCACTCTCTCACATTCACTGTGGTATACATGACACTGCAGATGTTGGGAGAGTGAATGACTGATGGCTCCTTTGTTATTCCATCTGCTGCAGTTTATATTATCAATAATCAACAGAGCAATTCTGTTTGGATGGAAAAGAGTTATTATCTTTAGCTATTTGAGTCCCTAACTTATAGGGGTGAGGTGCCACTTTTATTGGTGAATACAGTTTGTCTCAAAACCTTTCACCAGTAGTTCTCCCCCAGAGGATGGATTTACAGACTGTATTGCAGAGGCAAATATGTGCTTCTTTCTTAGGAGTTTCTCCCTGTGATTTTGTTACATACCACTCCAGGAGGTGTCTTAGCTCATCTACTTAATTGTTAATTTCCATTAGCTGGCCATAAATGGAGATCACTGTATGTGCAGTTAGTAAAATGTTTTTATCCACTAGCTCCATATCAGAGTCAGGGCAGGGGGGTTCAGACTTCTGTTCCTCCTCAATGTGTAACTACTCTCTCCTCTTCACTTTCCCAGTCAAGCACTGCATATTTATTATGAGAGCTATAAGAATGTGATTCACTTGAACAATTGGAATGCTGTACATAATCTTCTACAGTGGATCACTTAAGATATTTAGCACTTTGCTGTATCTCAGAGCTGTTCTGCATTGTTTCTTAGATATATTGTTTTTTCTCTTACTCTTCCTTGACTTAGTTTGAGTATCCTTTTTCTTGCTGTTATGCCCCTCTGGCAATAGCAGATGGGTAGCTGATACAGAGACAGAAACCATTCTCCTACTTGCTCTGCATGGTGGCTAAAAATATCTGCAATTAAAAATACAATCTATGCAGCTTATCCATTATGCTTCTTGAGCTATCAGCCCAGACTCCCCAGCAGGGGAGAAGTAGAATAAAATGAGGAAAAAGAATAAAAATAAAAGACTGACAAATTGATAATGGGGCAGGAGTGAAAGTAGGCATAAGAATAAGGTAAAAGTGATAAATAAAATTGTGTAAGAAGTAAAAGAAACTGATAAACATTGGCTTTTAGAGGGAGCTTTTGACAGTAGATGCTACATTGACACCATCTTAGCCCCTCCCTCCTTGCTGGGAAGAGAAATATGAGGTAAGATTGGTAGCTCCTGGGAACACCTCTGCTGCTAAGATTAGGATCCATGGGGGGACGGTTTGTTTCTGATTCTTTCAGGCCTCCTGAATAGCTGTGGGAAGTCTGCTTTTTGGAAAAGCCTGGAAAATTCAGGGACTATTTGCCATCTTCCTACTAGGACCACTCCCTCACCTCCCTATCTAGTGATTCTGAAGTGAAGCATCTAAGTCATATGCTATAAAAAGTGGGGACTGGATGTTCCTCCTCCATTTGGTGATCTGGCTCTTCTCCTTATAACAATCAGTGCCTCAGCCCCATGGGGTGGGGATCCAAAAAGATAGCATCTGAAGAGCAGGGCACCATCTCCTTTCCTTTCTCCTTCTTGCTTCCCCGGTACATCCATCCCAGGTGGGAAGCACCAAAATGTAATTTCTCATTCTTTTTTATCTAGATGGATTATCACTGGGACTAATAGTGACTACAGCAAGCTATAAGGAAGAGAAAAAGAAACGGAAAAGATGAAGAACAAAAAAGAAAGGAAGTTTAGCTAGACTTGGGCACATGGGAGGTAGGCAGAGCTCAGAGAGGTGCATGCTCTCTTGACTACTGAGGGTCTGGAACTATATCCTCCCACAGGCACAATTTCAGAATCTTCTAGCCATGCTAGAATGAGAAGAAAACACCCAACAGGAATGTACTTGCTCTGCTAAAGGAGAATGTCTAAGATTACTCTAATTAGCAAAACATTATTATGATCAGATCAAATCAAGCTCAAGCTGCCAGCAAGTATTTTAAAATGTCATTTTAAGAATGCAACTCGAGTCTGAAATCTCTTAATCACCTACTTGTCAATAAATATAGCAACATCAACACCATCCATTAGAACACTGATTGCCAGTTATTGCCTAAGCTCTATTCATTATTAAATGAAGATAGGAGTAAATTAAAATAGGAAAAAATTGTGAAAGATCTTCCACTGAATCATAGCTGAAACTATTAAGGCCAACATTCAAAGAATAGACAATTTAAATCTATGATCCCATTTTGTAACTGATAACATAAGGAGTTGAATGTTCACTACATTCAGCATTTTTTTTTTATTTTTTATTATTGAGAAGGAAAAAAACACATAGAAAGTGCTTTAACAAAAAAGTGAAAAAATACAACAAAGAACGTTAATATGTCATAACAGTAAACAACTACAATTCTATATATACTTATCTAATGCAAATATTACTCAAGTACATATTTATTTATAATAC